ATCGATGGCAAAGCAAATGAGAATGATATCGCTAGCAGAGGTGAGAGTTGAGCGGGAGGTCGCAGGAGATCAGCAACTTTGCGTCGGCTGCTGCCATCGACGGCAACGCTCTTGCATTTCCACATTGCGAGCTCGTTTCTCGTCGGCATGATCTGCGCCCAAAAGTCCTCTGCAGCTCACGCTCACCTTTCCGGGTAGCTCAAAGGTCTGAGCCGATCGTACTCTTCCTGCCCCGCAGTATCCCACAATGCCAATTCCACCACCTTGCCCTCGAACCTCACGATAGGAACGTAATTCTCAAAGACGGTGGGAATGTACGCTTCTGGAAAGCGGTTTTCCGACTGTGTATGCGTGCGGGTGCGCGTGCGCGGGAGGTGGGGTCAGTCTTTGCGTTGCTACGCCGCGGGGGAATGCGGCAAGAACAGCGCATCACAGCTTGAGTATCCGGCTCCATCTCTGTTCTCTCCTACCTTCCTCCCAAACACCCTAACCGTTCCCTCTCTTCGCCCCAGCTGGTAGCCGCCGGCCGGTTGGTTCACTGAGCAATGATGAAGCTTTGGCGACTCACATAGACGATCAACAAGCTCGTCTTTCCAGCTCCACCATCTCCCACCACGACGAGCTTCTTTTTGGCATCGATGTGAGGTCTGGTGTTGCCTCCTTGTCCAGGAGGCGCATAATCCGCACCGCTGGCCGCTTGTATGCTGCCCAATGAACCTGAAGAGGGATGTGCTTGATGCGTCATGATTGCAAGTCTCGTCTCAGAGAGAGGAGTGGGGTGGATGTAGCTTGCACCTCGCTATGAGACGCTAATCGAAGAGCCTCGCGTGTACTCAGAGATGAGCCCGACGTGCTCTCTAATCGCCTTGTCCCCCCTTTCCCGCGTGTGGCCCGATTACTTTTTGGGGCTTTGCGTGTGCTCCAAAGTCGTACTTGATATGGCGTATGTTGGGTGCGATGAGGCGTGCGAGATGGCGAGAGTGATGTGCAGCTCGCTACCTGAGGTTGATGTAATAGGCAGCAGACAGTTTGAACCTCGTGGCTGCAGACCGTCGTGAGTGTGCAAAGCAAGATGAGAGATGGTGATGGATTCAAGATGGATGGATGTATGCAGGGATGATCGACTCTTGACTGGCGCTCGCGCTCTCGATCACTCACGACTGCTGCAATGGTGGGTGGCAGTAAGTACACTTTAATTCCTCGAGATGGCTACTCGTGACTGATAATCAAGCATCAAAAATGCACACACACACACACCTACCGACACGAGCTCACTACACATTCATTCATTCACACTCTTCTGTACCGGTATTCACAATTATAACTATTCAAATCATCTCCAGCCATCCAGCAGCTCATCAATTGCAGCTCCAACTCCAACTCCACCTCGCTCTCCGCGTCCGCGCTGCAGCAGCAGCTGCACGAATAAGCGTAGCCGCCGCCGCCATCACCCGCTGCGAGCGACAAGACAGCACTCACGACTTGCATGGACTTGCAACCCACCAACACGCCTGCACGCCTGCCTGCCTGTGGTAGCTGCCGACGCTTGCTTACAATCACAATTTTGAATTCGAAGCATCGCATATCGCGTCGCTTCACCCCCAGCAACGGTAAATGCAATCAATCACTCATCGAGCATCTCCCATTCCTCATCATCGTAGCCACCGAGTGATTGATCTTGCATTCTTCGGGGCGCAAGCTCAATCAAGCATTCGTGTCGTCAAGGAGACTCCCGGCCGGCACAGTACTGTAATCTAAAAAAGAGAGACTTTCAACCAACACGAACAAGGCAACTAATTCGATCGCGACGCGCCTGAGAGACGCGCGCGCGCGCGCCAAAGCGATCCGTGCTTCTCATATCACGTGACCCTTCACCCGCCATGCATCATGCAGCGCATGACAACGACAACCCAAAGACCGATTTGAATCGATTGCGACACGTGGGTGCGTCCGCTGCAGTCGACGGTGGTGGCGGTCACTTTGACCACGGTGCCATGCATGATGAGCGAGCAGCAAGGTCGCTGCTGGCTGCTCGCGCTTTGCTATAATCACGAATGCGTGTGCTGTCTTGTTCTGTCTGCCTGCCTTGCACGGGCGGGCGGGCCTGCTTCGACGGGCTCGCCGCTCGGCACGGCACGGCGCGTTGGATCAGATCTTCCGCGAACGGCGTGGCGTGCATTCGCGCATTCTTCCTTGCCCCATTCACATTCAGATTCCTGCTTGCGGTCCACCACAACGACACGCAACGCAACGCGAACAGGGTTAGACTTTTACACACTGTCGCTCCAACATCACAATCAATCTTTGGGACATCATGTCTGGAGGAAAGCGCATCTATCTCGGTCACCTCTCTCCCGATGTGCGGTGAGTGGCGTTGCGATGCTGTGCTGTGCTGTGCTGTGCGATGCTGTGCTGTGCTGTGCTGTGCGCATCTTGTAGTCCATCTTTGACCATGCACGTCTCGAGCTCATCAAACCCACCTGCCCCTCGACTTTGCTATGCCTTTTTGCTCGTCGCGCAGTCGAGGAGACCTGGAGGATCTGTTCAAGGGTTATGGAAAGATCAATGATATTCGTCTGGTGCGTCATGGATGCATGGCCCGCCACGAGTTCCAAGGCGCGTAATGGTGCACGGCGTATGCTGACCGATAGCTCTTCGTGCTGCATTGCGCGCATACAGATGGGCTCCTTTGGCTTCATGGAGGTTGACAGTGGTCAGGATGCGGATGACCTGGTCAAGGTGAGTCGTGAAGCGTGTGCGCCGCATCGCGCGTCTCCTGACCTTGCGCCCCGCCCTCCCTTTCCCGCGCACCGCATCCTCAAGGACTTTGATGGAAAGAGCTTCATGGGAGATCGGTGAGCAAAGCTTGGCCATCGTTTCCCAATTTGGCGTTTCGCTGCGCTAACTCAACGCTTGTCTGCAATGTCACAGCCTCATTGTGCAAATCGCAAAGGAAGCTCGTCCACGCAGCGAAGTACCGCGTCCTCCTGGAGGATATACTAGCGGATACCAAGGTGCCGGCGGATACGGACCTCCAGGTGGCTACGGTGGTCGCGGTGGCTACGGAGGCTATCATGATCCTTACGCTTACGGTGGTGGGCGCGGCGGTTATGGTGGTGGACGAGGCGGCTATGGTGGTGGATACCCACCGCGTGGAGGATACGGCGGTGGTGGTTACGGCTTCGACCCGTACGGCCCTCAGCCTCGCCAACCTCGCATTCGTCGCGGTGAGCACGCTTCGCTTGACATCGCTGATCGCAGATTGTTCACGACTGAACCTTTGAATTCCGTACATCGACACTACGCAGGCGATTACCGCGTCATCGTTTCCAACTTGCCAGCCAACACTTCCTGGCAAGATCTCAAAGACGTAGGTCGCGAAGCAGGACACATTTCATTTGCCGATGTCGACCCATCTCGTCCGGACGAGGGTATTCTGGAGTACGATTCGCGCGAGGATATGGAGCGCGCTCTGGACAAGATCGAAGGTATGGAGCTGCGCGGAAACAAGCTTCGCGTGGACCCTGCCCCTGCTCCCGAACCTCGAGGCTCGGAACGTGATCGCGATCGCGATGGGGGTCGCTCCAGCAGACCTGCTCCCGTTGACCGAGAGCGCGAACGTTCTCGCTCGCCTGCTCCTCGTCGTCGTGCTGACAGTCGTTCTAGAAGCCCTGCACCTCGTCGTGCCCGCGATGATAGCCGAGACCGCTCCCCCGCCGCTTATCGCAGCGCCTCGGCTCGCGACGCTCCAGAGGATGACCGCTACCGCGACTAGATTTGAATTTGTCGCACGTGGTGCACGATAGGAGAACAGGGTGGATGGACCTTCTCTGTGAAGCCAAGTCCACGTCGGTGCCAAAGGTGCAGGAATGAAAACGCGTGGAAAGATTTGCGGACCCAAACTCTACGAAAGAAGTGTATGGATTCATCTTCGCAATCTTGTGTTGACGTCGTGGATGGCCCTGAACAGAGAAGGCACATCCGAAGCGGAAACTTGCACCCCAAAGAAGAAGAAAAAAATTGGTCCGCTACGAAACCCCCCTCCCCAAAAAAAAAAAAACAAAAAAAAATCACATCTTCTGTTTTCCTCCTGTGCTCCAAGGTCTGGATAGGGTCCCTTTTTTTCAATCTAACGGCAAGCCACGCACGCTGACTGGACGAGGCTAGGTGAAGGGATACGTTTGGACGAGGTAGACGGAGCGAAAGGAACGGACGACGGACCTTGATCGGAAATGGACTGGCTCACCACTTTCTTTTTCCCTGTCATCTTGTTTTTTTTGTCTTTTTGACTGCTCGGGCCTGGATGATGATGGGCTGAAGGTGAAAGAACAAGGCGCACGTGGAGGAGAAGCCGTAACTCGATTGTTCTTTCTTTTGGTGTCTCCCCCATTGTATTCGTTTGTGGCACCAGCACTGGCACTGGCACTGGCACTGGCACTGGCACTGGCACTGGCACTGGCACGGGCACTGGACACTTAACGCACGGGCACGGGCACGGGCGCCACGGACGTGGATGGAGAAGTCTGCGCTTGTCGACCAGCAAGGCCCAGCTAGCAGGCCAGCGACAAGATATCATTGTGCTTGATCTACGTGCTATCGGAACGCCGGATGTGGTATGGACAGCGCAGAGCGGACTGCGAAAAGGCAAAAGGTTTCCTTTTTTCTGGAATTTGCCCGGGGTTCAGCGGCATTCTCTGCGCTCCTCGTCCCGCATCCCCATGTTGCAGAGCTACAAGGACGCTTGCGGTACGTGCACACTTTTGGTCGGTCTTGTCTGGCCTGGGCCCGCGCCCTTTCATCGCGCCCTTCTGGAAGGTTCGCAGCTTGATCTGCCTCTGGAAGCAAAAAGAGTCGATCATGGGATCCTCTTTGGTCGAGCTTGTGCTGCGTCCAGAACTTTCCTTTCTTGCATCAACTTTGATCAGGATGGGCCGGCCAACTCTCGAAGGAACTGTGAATCGGAGCATCGGAACAGTGCATTGCGATGGCTGATGGCTGATCAATATGACCCCCCGCACCCGCCCTCTCCCCGTACCTTGGACGAACCTGAATCGATTGGCGCAATCAGGACATGCTCTTTGATTCATTTGAATCCTACTCACGACTACCGGGCACGTCGGCGCTGCACAAGCAGGCCGGGTCATCTATCCGAATCATCGACTACGTTGGTCGATAAGCGGCCGGATCGCGCGAATCGTCTTGCGCTCGCTCTGTTGGGATGCTCAGCCGAACGCTAGGTGCGTTGCGATCTAGAGCTCTTGACCAATCTGGACTCGAGGAATCCGAAATCGTTCGAGCTGGTCAAGGGTCAGCTCGCGGGACGTTCTGCAAGACACAAGCAGCGTGCGACGCCATCGGATTTCCGACTTTTGTTACCGCTCCACGGACACGTTGCGCAACCACGCCCGCCCCGCTTGCCCTTTCTTGCTCGAGGCGTGGAGGAAATGCCCCCCCTTTCCGAAAGCGCAAGCCCCTTTTACGATGGTCTTCAGCGCTTCTTTATCGTGCGGTAGCGGACAGGGATTCGAGAATGACGATTAAGCGGATGCGGCTTCTCGCACACCCCTCTCGAGAGCATCGAGCAGCAAATCGGAGAAATGTGCTTGCTGGGGGGGGGGGGGGGGGGGGGG